CCACGAAGGTCTTCTGGTCTGGCATGATGTCCGTGGTCAGCTGCGTCTGCGGGCGAGGGGAGAGGGGGTCTCAGCAGGGTCCTTTTTGCGGGGGGAAACAACCAATCTTGGAAAACACCTGGTTTTGCCCTCGGGTCAGTGATGCCAGCGGTCCCCGGCACGGCGCGTGTCTGGCACATCCTTCCCGAGCCATTTGCAGTGGGAAATGGCTCTTGGACCCGGGACCCCGTGCTCCCCCCACCCCGAACGTACCTCTGAGTAGCACAGGCTCTGCTCTTTGGACTTGTTTAGCTTTGATCCGTGCTCCTGGAGAGGGGAGAGGAGGAAGAAGAGGAGAAAAGAGGAAGGAGGGAGGACAAAGGAGAAAGGAGAAAGGAGGAAGGAGAAAGGAAAAGAGGAAGGAGAGGAGGAAGGCTCAGGGTGGGTACGTGCACCTGGGGCTGCTCCCACCCAGGGTTGCACCCCAAGGTTTGGGCTCCCAGGTTCACTCCCCCCCTGCTCCCTGTTCCAAATGCTCCTGCCCAGGACCCCGCACCCACCCATGACACCCACCGGCCACGGTCCCCCTGTCCTGGGGGCACTCCCTCCCACCCAGGGAGCAAAGCACGAAGCCACAAGCCCAGCGCAATGCAAGAAAACCCGTATTTTCTCAAGTTTCCCAAAACCACGTGGAATTCAAGGCATTTTCACCCCGAACGAGGTGAGGGCAGGAGAAACTGGGCTGGAGGCAAACACACCAGCTCACCTGCCCTGGGCACAGTGCCATGCTCCAAGCGAGGGAAAGGGATGCGCAGGGCACGGATCCCTCCCTTCCCCACGCCAGACCCCCGGGCAGTGCCCAGACCCCTGTTTACCAGGGCTGGTCGGATCCTGCTGGGCACCCAGTTCCCAACACCGCATCCGGACCAAGATGCCTGCGTGGAGCAGGACTTTTTGCTGCAGCCCATCTCCCGGCTGATGGACCCACCCCGGCTGGCAGCAGCGCCCGGGCTGGGGTCCTACCTGGACGGAGGTGCAGGTGGTGATGACGCTCGTGTCGTACATGGTGTTGCTGTCATTGATGTCATCCGGCAAGGCCGGGCTCTTCTCCGTCTTCGGTGGCAGGGTGATGGGGGGCGAGGGGTTCTTGGGGGAGAGGTTGACGTCGGTGCCGTTGCCGAAGGCTTGGATGGCGTTTCCTGGGGGACAGGAGGTGTTTATGGGACGGGGGCTGCACCCTGGTGGTGCTGGGACGGGGTGAGGATGGAGGATGGGGAAGCGCCTTACGGAGACAGGGGTTTTCCGTGAAGTCTCGGAGGAACTTCTCGCACTCCTCCTCCAAGTTGCCGCTGCCTTTGCAGGAACACCAGGGTGAGATGGTGATGCTGGTGGGGCTGGCGTCCACGTAGTTGGGCGTCATGTCGAAGCGGGCTGCACCCTGGTGGTGCTGGGACGGGGTGAGGATGGAGGATGGGGAAGCGCCTTACGGAGACAGGGGTTTTCCGTGAAGTCTCGGAGGAACTTCTCGCACTCCTCCTCCAAGTTGCCGCTGCCTTTGCAGGAACACCAGGGTGAGATGGTGATGCTGGTGGGGCTGGCGTCCACGTAGTTGGGCGTCATGTCGAAGCCTGTGCCCGGGCGAGGAGAAGGGAGAGGGATGAGGGGCTGCGGCAGGAGAGACCCCGGCGGCACTCACCGATGAGCCCGGCGTAGGAGCCCAGGCATGCCTGGTAGTTGTCCCCAGGGCAGCTGGTCAGGGACTGGAAGGAAGCTTGGCAGTTGGTGTGGAAATCGGCCAGCCGGGACCTGGGTGCAAAGAGGGAGAGGGAGAGGGACGGATTTTCGCCGCCGCTCCCTGCACAGGGTGGCTCAGCAGTCAGGAGGGGCGCTTGGAAAAAAATAAATAAAGGTGAGAAAAGAGGATAATTTATCCTCTTTTGGATAAACTGGGATTGGGAGGGGAGATCCAAGGGACATCCAGGCTCAGGAGGTGCAGCTTCGTGGCTCACCTCCGGTCACCCCAGCCTGCCAGAGGGTCACGGCGTGCGGGGGGGGACCCCGCTGGGGATGAGCCCCCGAGTGTGGGACCCTCGTTCCTCCATCCCTGCCTGCTCCCCCCCTTCCCAGCCCTCTCCGGGCTCGACTGGCACAGCACACCGTAAACTTCACAACCCCATTTGGCCGCGCTGCTCCCGGCGTCATTACACGACTGTAAAATTTCACTGCTTGTTTTTATCTTCCCCCTGAAATGTTAAAGCTTAAAGTGCAATTAAAATGCCTGAGGTTGGGGATTACATTTTCCTGTCTCCTTTCGCAGCTGAGAAGGGAAAAACAAAAGGAAGCCCGAGATGCCAAGATGCTCATGCCCTGCCTGCCCTCCTCCTCCTCCTCCTCCAGCCCTGCCTGCCCTCCTGCCAGACTTGGCTCTGTGGACAGAGCGAAGGCAGAAGGAGCACAGCCGGGGAGATCAGCAGCAGGACCAGATGGAATAAAGAAGGGAAAAGAGGAGCAGAGGAGCTGATTTCCACTCCTAACCCGATTACTGGCTTCGTTACCCCTTCCCATCTTCTCTCACGGAGCGGTACAACGCACAGAAAAAGCACAGGAACGCCGGAAGCCCAGTCATTCCGGGTGTATCCGTACCCTGGCTCCGCTGACACAAACCCAGCGCTCCGCACGCGGCGCTCTGGGGATTTTTCTTGGGATGAACCGAATCCCCAAGGCAGAAGGATGAAGAAACGGGAAGGACGTAGGAGAGGATGGACAGATGGACCAGGTGGACAGATGGATGGGCAGCAGTTTTCCAGACTGACTCAGCCATGAAACGAATAGCTCCGGGGCTGAGTCCTGGCCCAGGCTGGATCTCAATCACAGGGAGGAATTGCCACGCAGCAGCCAAGTTGCTGACGCTGGAGATGAGACCTTGCATCTCACAACAGAAAATCTCCTCCGCTCTTTTTTTTTTCCACACTTCATATAGATAGAAGAAGGCATACATTATTTTCTTCAGCTTCCTTTTCCTTCCTTCTTAATTAAATGTCATCTTTGTCCAACCAGTGATTGAATCATCCAACAGCACCTGCCTAAAGCCATAAGAACTGACAAAAATAAAGGGTAGAAATGCTGGGTTGGGTTTCTTGTTGGTTTTTTTTTTTTAAATAGGAATGATTTGTTTTCAGAAGGTTTCGATCAAATTAAATGGAGGAACAAAAGAAGCAGTGATTGAGTGAAGGAGAAGGGATCTGCAGCGATACCTTACATCCAGCCAGCGCTTTCCATCACACCAGATCTCAGAGGTACCACTGGGGAGGAGCAGAGATGCTGGTGCTGAGCCCACAGGCAAAAAGCCACTGCAGTTCCATGGGCTACGAACCGGGGAAAGGACAGAAGAGGGAATAAAGCACAGCTGCTCAGGGCTGGACCAGAGCGCTGGATGCTCCATGCGGGAATGCAGTGGTTTCCTGGAGAATTTGGCTGTTTCCAGTCATCCACGCCTGGGGCTTTTTCCAGATCACGGGGTTTCGCAGCCAACGGGGCAGCTGAGCCTCTTCTGGGGACCCCCATGTCCTTCGGGGACCGGGGCATCGCCCCGCAGCAAGCTCCCCACCTGAGCCAGGGGGTTGGCGACAGCCACCCGTGCGCTTGCTGCCCTTTTTTTGCTGATTCCCGTGGCCGGGCACACAGGTTGAACTCGGTTTTCGCCCGCTGACGGGCTGCCAGCGGTGTGAACTGAATTATTTTCCCACTTACACCAGCTGCCTGACCCACTTACAGCCTCCCGACAGGCTGCAAATTTCCAGGGCAAGGTCAGGCTCTTCATCTGGGTTATCCGAGCCCTCCCGACGGGAAGACAGGATTTCTACACCACGCTCTTCTAAGTGTTGGGTGTTAATAAATAGCAATAATGCAACTGGCACCATCTCAGGGATGGATGCAATGGGGGGGTGTGGGGCAGCAGCCCCATGACATGGGGAAAAAGGATAGGATTGGGCTAAAACACCAATTCCAGGGGAAAAAAAGGGATTCTGCAGCTCTCCTGTGGCACAAGTGACACCAGGAGCAAATCTTCTTCCTCTCCTTCCTCCAGGAAGCAAAACTCGCCCGTCCCAGGAGCAGGTTACTCTCACCAGACCCACATTTCATTCCCTCCCTCATGATTCAGCACACAGGGAAAGTAAAACGGTGCCGAGAGGGAGGCCGGGGGGTCCCATCCTGCTTCTGCTCCCAGGGCTGACGCTCGGCTCCCCGCACACAGTCTCCCTCGCCGGAGCTGTGCACGAAGCCCGGTGCGTGTGGAAAAGCTTTTCCAGCGGATGTCCACAACGCTCAGCCCTCCCTGCAGCCAAATCCAGCCTCGGGTCAAGGGGTTTTGCTCCCCATTTGCAAGTTGGGAGCAGAAGGAGGAGCCCGGGGTGGGTGCTGCGGAGCAGAAAAGCTCCAACTCTGCTCCTTTCACGCAATCCCCGTGGCGAGAAGGTATTTGGATTCCTTCCTCCTCTCCTTCACGGGAGATAAATAAAGTTTCCAACGGCATTTCCCCTCTCCCCAAATTAGAGGCGAAGGCACGTCAATTCTCCTAAAGAACTGCCGCAAGTTCATCACCGAGTACCACGGAAATTTGTCACGCTGCTCCCCGGGGCCCTGCTCCTGGCTTGTAGCATCCTCTAAGGCAAATGTTATTCTTTTCATAATACATGACAAGCCATTTGTAATCTTTCAAAAATACCCAAGCCAGATTTCCCTCTTTCCATTGTATACAATGAGTTTGCAGTCGCTGGATGAGACTGGAACTGCCAGGAATAAACCTTACTGGAGCTGGCCCACAGCTTCTCAGATTTCTGCTTTTAAGTGCCCGAGGAACAAAAAAAAAATAATAAAAAAATAAAAAAGAGAGGGAGCCAAGTCCATCTTAGCAGAAAGAGGAGGAATTGGTGCCAAATTGCTGGCCAGCAGCTCGAGGCAGCAGGTGGGTCTGGCCAGGCTCTGCTGGAAAATGCCAGACCTGGGTTGGGATGAGCCGGGCTGGGATGAGCTGGGCTGGCAGCTGGGTCCGGGC